TGCCTCTCCGCGGCGGCAGCAGCAGCAGCACCAGGAGCAGCAGCATGTCGAACTCGGGCAGGAAGGACTTTGACGTGAAGCACATTCTGCGCCTTCGCTGGAAACTGTTCAGCCACCCGGGGGCCTCGGCGGGCGGTTGTCTGCAGCAGGACAGCAGCTTCGAGCACTGGGGGCCGAGCCAGAGCCGCTTGCTGAAGAGCCAGGAGAGGGGCAGCGGCGCCTTCTGGAAGAAAGCCGCCTCGTCCTCGTCGTCGTCGTCGTCCTCTTCTTCTTCTTCTTCCTCGCCGTCGCCTTGCGCTGCCTCCTCGTCGCCTTTCCATGGGACTTTGCTGCCGGCGACCAGGCTCCATGGGCTGGCCGAGCAGCAGCAGCAGCGCCCGCCGCCGCCGCCGCCGGCCCCTCGCACCGTCTTCTACGTGGAGTCCCTGGAGGAGGTGCCCGGCGGGGGCGGGCTGGGGGAGTTCACCCGCGAGCAGGGGAAGACGCTGGTGCTCCGCGAGGTCAAGGAGGAGCCCGTGCCCTTCTTGGATGGCGGCGGTCAAGCAACAGGTGACGGAGCCGTGCACAGGTACGCTCTGCCCCTCTCCTTCCCCGGGGGGGGGGACCCCCTGGTGCAGCGAAGCACTTGGCGAAGCTCAGGTAGCGAGCGGTTCGCAGGAGGGGACGAGAGGGCGTCCCAAACGAAAGCGTGCTGCCTTAGGGACGATCCCAGCTCTTGCTCTCCGCGGCTTTTGTGTTCCTTTAACCCCCAGCCCCAAAGTCACTTTTCATCCCATTCTGCATTAGCGTGAGTGTCTATTTCTATTCAAGGCTGGTCCTATCTATAATAACACAGTAGCAGTCATGTATATTTAACGGGGAACAGTCCATCGCTGCCAGCCTGCCCACATTTTCTTGAGAGTAACCCCTTTTGATTTTGTGAGGCTTCCTATTTTAAACAGGAACTGTCCAGTGACTTGACTGCAAGGTTGCCGTCCTCAGTGTACTACTTTCTGGGCACCAAGCAGCCAGAAGCCATACACGTTCCTTTGAAAGTTGAACTCACTGGGAGTTGGTATCACTGCAGCTCACAGGTAACTGGAAACTAAGGCGTGACTTGAATCTAGGAGGAAGCCTGGCTGCAGACCTAAAAGCAAGGCTCACTTATATGTTTGCCTAGCATTGTAGCCTTCACCATTTTTAAATCAGGGAAGTTGATGTTTGAAACATCTGCCCAGTTAAGGAGGATCTCTGAACTTTTCTTTCAACATCAGTGAAACTCCAAATTGCTAAATTTTGATTATGCCTTCCGCCACTAGACCCCTGTCTGGGGTTACCTTCATTCTAAAGAGTACTTTCATGTGCATGTTTGCTTGCAGATACTGTTTTAATCCAGTGGTTGAACATCAAGAGAGACTAGGTGGAGAAGGGCAGTTTACAGTTTGTTAGAATTGTAGGAGTGGACATGGAAGTAAAGTTCAAGATAAGTAATCTGGGAGATTTGCCATGTAGTTCTATTATGTCCCAGGGTTTTGCATTAACTGTGAGAACTTGTTCCTAATTGAATTCCACTTTTAAAATATATAGGCAGCTAGTTCTGAATGATAACTGAAGATTTTAAAAGTGTTTAATTTTGCCTGGAATTAATACAGTCTGATCTGCTGAGGAGGGCAGTGAGTGTTCTGCTCTCTCTGGAAAAATTGAAAGCAGCAGTCTGTTTGTTTTTTAAGGGTTGCAGGACTGCAGGGGGACTTCTTCTGCCTTCTTCCTCTGAGAGCTCAGTAGCAAAACTCTCTGATCAGAATTCAAGGCAACCGCTTTGAAATTGATATCTCTCCCTACCACAACCCTCAAGTGGTGTTTGAAGGAAACATAATGATAGCATGACTCAGTGGGTTGGAATGCCTGGCTGTAGAGCCAGGGTCCAGGGGTTTGAATCCACATTGTATTTCTTTGGATAGGGATCACCTGAGATCACCTGGAGTGTGTGTATGGCTGATGGGTTTTGTGCCCTACCACTTGTGCTGCCTTTGGCAATTTGCACTGTCCTAGAGTGATACCAGAAAGAATACACTTACAAATACTGTAAGTGAGAGAGTGATGAATATGTCCAGAATTCTTTTCCACATCTTGTTTTCTTTGGGTAAACTCATTCAGTTTGAACTGAACTCTGTGGAACTTATTTTTGAATGAATATGCAGAACTGTTCACTAACTATAGGCAGGCACCTATAGTTACACCTAGAATTAAGCGGGAAAACCATGCAGATTTGAACTCTGACATGTTTTGTTTTGAATAAAGAATACAGCCTTTTAAATCTCCAGGCACACATTCTGAATATATACAGTTGTTAATGGCACAGACAGACCCATGAACAGCCTAGAGTTCTTGGATGAGAATATCTAACACTAGGCTGGTGAACTGATATCTTCCAAACTTATTGTGTGTCCAGAAAGTTATGAAAACCCTTTTGTTTCCAAGATTTTTTTAAATTGAATTAATGAGCCAGTTAATCTGTTACATAAAAAACTGCAATCTAGTTAAAGTCACTGGCTTGGACACAAAACTTTGATACCTGATACTTGCTTTGTTTGCCTACTGGATGGGCATTCACATTGTGTCAAATAATTTGGGGCCCTTGTTAGTATATTTCAAAACAATATAGTGAGAGTATAATACAAATGTGGTCTTATTAAAAAAATGCATTGCTTCATTAATATCCTTTGTTTTAGGTTTTCCAAGTATTTGTACTAATATCCATCTATATGTTGGATTTTTTTTCCTAATGTAATGTTCTGTTTGCACTTGCTTTTTGTTTGATGCTTTGATTCAACAGCAGATAATGCCCTTTCTTCTCAGTTTGCAACACTAAGAAAAGAAATTCTGTTTCAAGTTCTGCTACCTGTTTTAATATGTCCCACTTTATTCTTTTTTTGGGGGGGGGGGAATGACTGAATATCAAATTGGTGTTGGAAAAAAAACATTTGTAACTTGTCAACAAGCATGTTAAAGTTAAAGTTTGCATTCAAGTATGTGCAGGCACATACCGTGTACTTGCTTAGATTATCTTTGTGATTGAAGCCTAATTGGTTTCAATGGGAAAGTTAAGAATGCACTTAAATTTCTCACATTCAAGCCAGGCAAACATGCTCAGTTGACGCTGGGTCAAATTCTGGGAGCACCAAACAGAAACGGAAATGGGAAAAACAAAGAGATTGTTCAGCCCTGCAGAGTTTTCAGTCCTGGAAGTATTAAGCCCTGTAGTGAACCAAAAGTCGGCTGAATGATCAATGGAAATAATATGGACATTAACTGATCGTGCCCTGAGACAGAAGTGTGCTTCTTTTGTTATGAGTATGATGTGTTGGTGCAATTCATATATATTCAGTTTCTTTACCACTAATGTTTAAAGCTGGACAGCTTTCATGGCATTTAGCAGGTCAACCCCTTTCTTAAATGGTATTGATGAGGATCTAGTTTGGAGTTTCCTTTTTATGTGTCTTCCATGTTCTCTAGTATTAATGATAGAAGAAGAAAAAGAGGCAGACCAGTAAGGCTATTTTCATGTATTTCACAAATTATCAGCAAATCCTTAGAGTATATAGCATGTAATTCTTGCATTTATTTCTCCATGATTGTACATCAACAGCTACTTTCTCCTAAAAGGCTACAAAGAGAGAAGTAAGAATTCTGAGCCACCAGAGTTGAGCTGTTTATATTAGTCTTTTCAGTGAGAAGTCCTTTTTTTGTATCTTTGATGCTACTTTGTAGGATTCGGTTATCTTAACTCTTGAGTGTCTTTGTTAATAAGACCTAAGGAATCAGACTGAAGTACATACTATGCTCTTCTATTAATGTAGTAGTAGTAGTAGTAGTAGTAGTAGTAGTAGTAGTAGTAGTAGTAGTAGTAGTAGTAGTAATAATAATAATAATAATAATAATAATAATAATAATAATAATAATAATAATAATAATAATAATAATGTCCTGGTAAGCTAATAAGCTAATTCTGGCTTATGGCAAACTTTTAAAGGATTTTCTCAGTAAAGAGGACCCAGAAATGGTTTACCATTTCTTTCTTCTGGGGACACCCTGGGACCATGTAACTTGCCCAAGTACATACAGGTCAACTCTTTTGAGATGCACAGTAGGAACTGAACTGTCATCCTCTACCTAACTTTGTGAGCTATTCAGCCAGCTTCTCAGTTTACGTAATTTTTAAATCAGTCTAGAAGGAAGTTATCATAATTTTCAGATACCATTATTTCAGAACAGAAAAGAGAGAAAATGAAGCACACTTATGGAAGCATTTTGGAACATTTACAGGAGTGATGTGGGAGGTGAAAATGAGAATACGAGCTCCGTTGTTTTCTTTCAGAAACGCTCTGCAGAAAGTGTGTTTTAGAACCATGACAATGAGAAAAAGTTACCTGTGAGTGTTTCAGAGAAGGGCAATAAATGGGGAATTAGAATCTACACTCCAGCTAGTTGGTTTTCTCTTGCAAATTCACAGCCTTGATACTATTGCATGCGTCTGTTGCTCTTTGGATAAAATCTTCTGCATGATGATCTCATCAGCTAGGACTTTTCAAAAAAAGAATAAACATTTCCTTCTTTTGTCTTGAGGCACCCATGGTTTCCATGTGATCCCTTTCTTTTTCAGGAACCCATGAGGGCTGTGGGATGGGAAAAGGAATTCCTTAGTTACTGAAAGGTGCTCCCTTCAGGTTTCCTCCATGGGTTCCTGACAAGGAAAGGGATTACACTGAAGCTGTGGATGCCTTAGAACAGAGGTAGGAAATGTTTAATTTCTAAAAAATTGTCCCCATTGATGAGCTTTATGTAATGTAATTTACATAAACAAGGTTTCAGAATCTTTCTAATAATACTGGATCCAATCATCACCGTAGTTTGGAAAATGAAAACAGTGATGTTGCGTTTCTTCAACAAAATGGAACACCACTTTTTAAATGGTGTGTGAAAAACTATGTGAGATCTCAGTGCCACTGCTAGATGACTCAGATGAATTGACTACGTAGGCCAAGAGCTATTTGTGCATATAACAGTATATGAATCAGTTTGAAGGCAGTGGATCCAGGAAATTATTTGAGTTTTTTATTGGAAAGTTTTGCAGGCATTCATTCATTATTCATACTTTGGAAGCATCAGGCCATTTTAGCTGAACTGATAATTTTGCAAATCAGAGGGAGCAGAAAAGGTAAAATAATGGATTCTTTTGGATTTGAATTAATGTACGGTAATCATGCCTAAAACTCCCATGAGTTTAGAGAATAGTCCTCTCCAGTCATGAGCATTTACACACCAACAGTATGATGAATAGCGGTTTATATTTCCTTGTAAGATAAATTGGATAAGCTCTAGACAAAATGTAAATTCTGACTGAAATCAGGGGAGTTAAAAATTCTATTGTGGGATTTAGTTCTGAGTAAACATGAATTGGACTATGTTTGTGCCTGCTTAGATCATTTCTGTGATCACTGAGATGACTGAAGATATTGGAATCTGATAATTCATCAACATTTTCTGTGCTTGCTAGACTGCTGGGAGTTGTGGTGCAAGAATATCTGG